TTTTTTTCTTATCAAATGATGAGTCCTAGAAATTTTTGTCCTGAAACGAAGGACTCCTTTTGAGGTTCAACCACATTTGAAGAAATGTTTCTCAGGAACTTGGGAAAATTAGTTTAAGAGCTTATCTGCAACATGTTTTTTAAGAATGTGTAGGGATATTGTATCGATATCACTCTCACAGGCTGCATTAGCTTGACTAGTTGCATATTACAAGCGATCCTTGCAATAAGACTACTGGCAACTAGAAGAAATAACTTAGTCTATCTTGTGCGCACGTTTGGGAGATAGAATAATCTGAACATGATTCCCACCGCCACACCCACCCGGGCACCACACAAGGTATGTTCAGTTCTCAAAGCAAAGTAGAGTATTTCTCATGCCAGAATCTACTCAAGGACCTTGTATATTGAGCTAGTCAAGCTAATGAGCCTGTAGTTATTAGGATCCAATTTACTACCTTTCTTAAAAATTGGCAAGATATCTACTATTCCCAGTCTGGTGAAAGCATTCCAGAGTTGAGAGACTCTCGAAAGATTTTACATAGAGCTGGAGTTAATTCTTCAGTGAATTCTTTGAGTACAAGTGGTGGGATGTCATCAGGCGGAAGGGCGGGCTAAGTGGCCTGAGTCTCGCCACCAATCAAGACATTTATTTATTCATTTATCAGGACCAGCAGAGGAGCTGGGATCAAGCAATACAAGGATGTTGTAGACACCTTCACCATTTATATCAATATCCTTTGTTTCCTCAGAGGGAGGTAAGGATAATGGTAGGAGGGGATAATTTTGTTCCAATGTGTAGGAGTTTTGAAAATTTATTGCGAAGATCTCAGTGACGTCACTCGGATCTGAAGCGATTTCCTTCATCTTATTTCCAGAGAGTTTGTGGACATATCTGTCACATTCACGCTTACATTTTTTCCCCTAAACATTATTGCACGTGTTCAATAGCTTCAAATGCTTACACTGTACAACAAATTTAAACTTTTTTTGTCCTTTTGATAAAACAATGTGATTTTAACTAAGTGAGATGCACTGAATTCATTTCTGAAATCAGAATATTTCTATCACGCACCATTTTTTTCCCTTTCTTTTATTTTTTTTTCACTTTTTAAAATTGTTTAAGTTAGTTATAATGACAAATAAAGCAATTGCACACTATTTTCCAGTATTTTCATTAAGAATGTATTTCACAATGTACAAAAGCTGCCAATGATATCTTAGGGAATTAAAAAAAAGATAGTAGGTTTTGATGCAGTTGAATGAAACATTATTCTTGAAAATTGTCTTTACAATTTTATCTCAAAAGTAACTCTAGTTATTTTCTTTGCACTTTTTTCAAGTCTCACTTCAGTGAAATAGGTACTAGAAAAAAAGAAAACATGATGATTTAAAGGTTATTTATCACTTTATCTACAATATTAGTATTTCAGGATTGAAAACCTAAACTGTTTCTTATTCAGATATTTTCTGAATTCTACATTTTCTACAGAATTCATGTTTTTTGAGAAAAATAAAAAATTATGAATATAGTGGCTAAGATATGTTATATTGCCTACAAAATTTTCAACATCATTAGATGTACAGTATAAATTTTGTTGATTATAAATGATGATATGCCAATATAAATATGCCA